ATCTGTGTGTTAAAACCGCCAGTGGTCTTGACCTAAAATGGCTACCAAGTTCTGCTGCCAATATCATAACTTGAGTTTCAAGTGCAGAGAGTCCGATTCAAGATCCTGCCGTTTTCTCCGAAAGCAGCTGCTTAACTAACAGCCTTTCCTTTTTCTTGCGCTTCTCGCCTGTGCCCTGGACTTGTGTCTCAGGCAGTCTTTCATCCGCCTTGTGTCTTTCGGCAGTTCACTGGTGCTCACGGTCGCACTTCCACGGGTGCTCTCGTTCATGCGGTCTCGTGCTCTCACGTCGAGCTCAAGCGGGCTGAAACCAACCCTGGACAGGTGACGTCTCACGCGGACGCGGACGGAGGACAGAGGAAGAAAGGAAAGGGAGGTGTCGACACCTGCTGACACCTGCTGACAGGGAAGTGCAGCAGCGGGAAGCACTGCCAAAATTGTAATGATGTACGTTTGATATATCTAAATACGATGCTATGCGCATCGTGCCACGTGATACTGCTTACAGTAGATCAGAAGTGCCTCCTTGATGTTGCAGATATTCTCGCATTTGGTCGATTGTGATGGAGCATCATTTCGAGGGACGCTCTCCGAAATCGAAATCTTCAAGCCTTGGCCATGTCCAGCGGCTTGTTCAAGAAGGGAGCAGCCTCTCTCACCGTCCCGCCGTCCCGCACTCGCACATGAGCGAATCCCCGGACGGAGAGGGAGCAGGCCGTGTCCGTTGCAGGTCCCCGTGTCCGTTTGCAGGCCGTATGATCATAATCATAAGTGCAAATGCTGTGGTAGCACGAGGTACGGACGCACGAGGTTCCGGACCGTGGTGGTGGTAGACCGCTCGCGAGGTCGGTCTTTTCTCGCAACCAGTCGGCTGTAAAGTCGCGGCCCTCCCTGGTTTGAGACGGCGGTCGATTCAAACATGAACGGCCTGAACGATTGCATGGCATGCAAATCACACAGGCGGAGAAGGGAAAAGAAAACACACGGCCGTTCAGCCTATCCTTGTCCTTCAGGGACAAGTCCAGCAGCCCGCATTGTCGCAGGCCAAGGGCCAAACCAACCCTGCATCCAAGGCAGGAGAAAAAGCTCGTTTCTGGTCCGAGCTTCATACAAAACGGTTCCGTGGTGGGCCAGGAACATGCCGATGTCATCAGCCAAAGTCCTCTGTGTGTTCGGGTGCAATCGATTTGGCGTGATGTCCATCGATGCACATGCAGTGCACCATTCATAGGATCGCTCTCCATGGGCCTGATTGACCAGAACGCGGCAGTCCGGTCGAAGATGCCAAACACGGCCTCGAGGAGCGATGAAGATCTCGTCCCTGATGGGACAGATCTGAGCGTGCTCGTTGAGCTCTCTCATGGCCCTGTCCAAAATGGCCTTCGCATCGGCCAGCGCAGCTCGGCTTTCCGACTCGATGGCCAGGCGGCGACCAGTGACTTCCTCCTCGGTGAGAGGAATTCCAGTGATGACGTCCCTTTCGAAGAACGCAAGTCGTTCTTCAGCAACTCTGAGACGGTCTCTGGTGAGGGCGAGTTCTTCTCCTTGTAGGTCCATCGCGCCTCTCAGCTCACGATTGGCCACTTGGCACTCATAGGTGCGTTGGTGTGACAGGTCCATGGAGGCCACAGCTTGGTCTTGAACGCTCAAGGCCTCAGCGACAGATCGCTCGAGGTTCCGTATCTTCTTGAGGTAGTAGCGGCGGGCAAACCAAGCGCCAAGCACAAAGGCGGTCAGCAGGAGGACCACCGTCTGCAGCAGCGGCCACCGCCCCTCGGCGGCATGCGTCTCATTCGAGACAGGCAGCGCGGCTGCAGGAGGTGTCCAAAGCAGCGCCATCAGCGCCAGGAAACCATAGCCATGGCCAGCGGCACGAGTTCGAGTCCTACCGGGGCTGCAACTGGTTGCTTCGATCGCTTCGCGAGCGGCAAACTGTTCAGTGCTTGTGCTCCGGCTCTCGAGTTCGGCTTGCTTGTCCATGGATGGTGTTCCATCCTTTGTTGTTTGTTGTGGACCTTGTGTGTTGGTTTGGTGCTTGTTGCGTGCGTTGTTGTGTGTTTTGGTGTTTGTGAACTCATGTTGACTGCTCCATCTGTTTTCCACCGTCTTCTTTTTGGCGGCCACGTACTCAGGGTCCCAGGTGTATTTGATCGCTCCATGTCTCAAGCGATCAGCCAGTAGCTGTCGAGCTGACAACTTGGTGAGTCCATCGCCATATTGGCGTTCTGAGGAGACCCATTTCAGCTTGCCACCGAAGCTCTCGACTTGTTGTCGAGTGACTTTCACTTCCAAGGCGGTCCGCTTGTCGTTGGACCCGTGGTTGAAGGCGTCACGGTGGTATGTGTCGTACAGCGCTTTTGCGTCTGTGATGAGCACTGGCTGCAGCGATGAGTTGTCCATGGCCAAGTTGGTCTTCAGATCAAGTCCTGGGTTCATCAACTCATTCCAGAACCTGACAATAAACTCAACACTGTCGGCTGCAGCTCCTGCGGCTTGTGCTTCTGCTGCCAGGGATGAGCGTGCAACACGTGGTAGCTTGAAGGATTTCCACTCCAGAACATGGTATGGCGTTTCAACGCCCTCGAAGGCTTGTTTGTGCGTGAGCAGGCATAGAAATCCATCATGTCGAACTCCGTGAGCAGCATCGAACATGCAAGATAGCCTGAGGTCGTCAAGCTCTCCCAATGGAGGGTACTTCAGGACCGAGTCGCTATTTTGCTTGGCGAACTTCAGAAGACGATTAGCTTCGACCATAGGTGCAGCTAAGCCGGTGGCCATTTCTCCGCTCAGCAGCGATGTGCTTGCTAATAGATGTGGGCTGCTCTGCACGGCTGGCCACTGAAGGCTTCCGAGCAGTCCGCGAAGAAGGCTCTGCTCCTTTGGTGTCATCGGAGAGTGTGTCGGTCTCCCCTTTTCCATGGTCAGCGGCTTGATCTTCTGGGGGTACTTTTCATGGCTGACCACCCAAGTGCCATTGGTCTCACGGGACATGTTGGCACCACAGTACTCAAAGGATTCATCTTGTTGCCATGTTCTGAAGTTGAACATTGTTTTGATCTCTTTCTCCATGTGCTGGTAGGTCTCCGACAGAGAATCTCCACCTCCCAGCATGTCGTCGACGTGAAGACATAGGAGGCCGACCAGCTTCTGAGACTGGGGCTCAAACAACATCCAAAAACAAGGGTCGAGCGAGTGTTGCTTCCAGCCAAGTTTTCGAAGCCTGGAACTGGCCTCGAGGAACCATCGCCTTGGGGCGTCAAGCTGGCCATAAACT